TTATTTCCTCATTTTCTTTACTAAACTTATTAAAGCTCTTTTCCTCTTCTTTGCTTCACACAAACCTTTATTCACTTCCCTCTATAAAAACTGTTGCACTTAACACATTCTCCGCACTTCCATATTCACATACATATGTACATATTTATGTATTTATCAACAACGAATTGCCAAACGCCGACCGGCACAATATTTTATATTTAAAAAAAAAACTAATTTTCCCACACTATTTTCACTAATTTACACGTTATTTTTTAATAATATTTTTACACAGAAATATTAACAAACATTTATATTTTATGTTTATGCAAAAATATTAACAATTTATTAACTTTTAACCGGATTTTTTAATTAATTAAACGACCACTAATCACCAAACAACCGAACACTTTCGAGATTTCTAAAAAACTAAAAGAGAAAAATGCAAGTAACGATTCTGTTGTTGTTGTTGCTGCTGCTGTCATTATTTGATTTGTACTAAATTGTTTGTTGTAATTTTATGATGTTGGGTGGTGGGGGACAATATTTTAGAGTGCGTAAATAGATTACGAGCACAATTTTAAGTAATAAGTGCTTTTAGTGATGGTCAAACTAGGGTTCTATAAATCGACTTTAAAATAATCGAAGAATCGACTTTTTGTCGGAAAATGTCGAAGTTGACTTTATTGTCCTATCGAAGTCAAAAAGTCGACTCTCTTGTAAGAAAAAAATCGAAGAATCTATTTTGCAAATAAAACTCGAAAAAAGTTGAAAAAATTCGAAAAAAAATTGAAAAGTGGAAAATTTAATTTTTTTTGCAACAGTTTAAATTAATTTAAATAATTTTTAATTAATTAAAAATATATTTAAAAGCATTCCAAAATTTTCATATTTTTGCTTCAAGTATGAAGAAGATATTTTTCGATCAAGTCGACTTTTCATAAAAACTCGAAAAATCGACTTTTCATAAATCTTTTTGTTTCAACTATAGAACCCTTTTCATTCCTTTCTAAATGTTGATTTTTGGAATATCGAATAACCCGGTAGTTTTACTTTGCAAGACCGGTTTCGAATAATTTTATTTGCTTTAAATTAAAATTTTGAAGTAAATAATAATACAAGCCGTTTGTAAAATTTATTGGAATAACCACATAAAACTACATACTTGATAACATTTTGTTTTCAATAAAATTTTATCAATCTTAAGACTTAATTCCATTTACAATAATAATAGAAGATATTTTATATTTGCAGCTGACATTTTATGGACTGTAAATCAGACGACTAGATCTTAAGTTATAATCTTTTAAAAGGGCTTTGTTCTTACAAAGAACACACTGTAGTAAATCTGGTATGAACAAAGATTTCCCTGCACATTCCTGGACAAGGAAGGAAAATTCAATGGTATCACTTGTATAAGATACCTTTCATCCATCATAATAAAACCCAGGACACTTCTCAATCATCCGAAACACTCATAGGGAACAACATCCGACACACTCACTCTAGATATACAGGCGGGTAAGATCCGTATACCCCTACATCCAACGCTTAGTCCCACAGTCACTCCTCTGTGGGTATCTGCTGGCTTCGACAATTCCTCTTCCCGTGGGTTTAAACCACAGCCACTGGCCACCCGTAGTACCTGATTATGTGGTTCCATATTTCGACCGCATGTCTAATCATTCCAAGGATAGGCCGAGGATACATTTGATTATCACCAGTTTATACTCCTGGCAGACTAGAGGTATTGGTAGCAAATCTTTTCCGCTGGATTGCAATCACACCAAGATGGGGTCTTTCATCAAGGTAACATGCCCCCAGGGAAACGTGAGAAGGATATATATAAGTTTGTTATTCCGTTTGTATTTCCACAATATAATTTTCCGACCCTTATAGATAGCGGAGTCGATTAAGTCATGTGCGTCTGTTGAAATCAATTTTCTGAAGACCTGGGGTCTTCAAATAAAACACCAACATCCTTTCATCAGTACATTGTTTGGCATATGTAAAGGTGTCCCTAAGCATTATTTACCAGGCATGGGGGGTAATAATTACACAGAGTAAATTATTACAAGGTCAATTACAATTACTTGTAATGTGTAATTGAACAATAACCAATTACAATTACTTGTAATTTTTTGTGTAGAAGAGAACGGATGGTATCGTCTAAACGCAATATGTAACGAAATCATCACACATTGAGAGAATTTTTTGAAATGATAAAAAAAAACAAGCAAGTCGCATTAGATCAGGGATATATTTTTATGTAAACACATACGATAAAAGTGAAACAGCTGTTTCCATCTTACTATGTTATTGTTTTATACCAATCCTGTAAACACAAAAAATATAAATCATACGACTTTTATTCTCTTTTTTGTCATACGGATGGAATTTCATTTTACTTTTTCATTAGACTTGTCGTACAGAGAGGTAACACGTTTCTGCACTCTCCTTTCATGTTTTCTATAACGAAAGTGTATCTGAAAATTCGTAAGAAAAATCATACAATTTTAGAAATAACACAAACAAAAATACAGAAGATAATATTTGGTCGAAATTTTAATAATTTCAATGCCACAATTTTTCGGACACCTCTAGTGCACATCTACGAACGATTACCTTTGAAATGATATATTTTTTGCCAAGATCGGATGTATACTGTAAGCAGTGTTGCTACAACAAAATTTTTTGTCTGGCCATAATTCGATCTTTTTGATGGTCGGTATAAAAAAATTATATTTACATAGTTGTTTTATTACTAGTGATCAAAGATTTTTTTTTATTTTTTAAATTTAAAAAAGAAAATAAAAGCAAACAGCATTTAGTACAATTGTTTGCAAAAAATAACCAAAACGAAAAAATAATTCACATGTACACATGCAACATAAAAATGACAAATTTTAGTTAATAATAACCAAAGTGACAACACCTACTGTAAGAGTAAAATATTTCTTGGTGTTACACACGGAATGGCAAACAAAAAGGGTATAAAATATCTACATAAAAATAAGTAAAATAACTGTGAGTTAATTTTTATATGTTTTTTATACATATGTAAGTTTGAAAATAAAATGTCTATAACTTTGTACAAGGTAATAAGGTATTTTATACCTTGTTGGACTGGGAATTTTCTTTAGAAGATAAGATAAAAAAGTCCTATTATTTACCCAATTTTACACTTTTCAATCGATTTCAGGCACGTTTTCTCGTTATCCGATTTGGCTAAAATTTACACCAATTAGTTAAGAACACTAATGAATAAAATGAGACCCATCCAACCGAATTTCATTGATGTATGTATGTATCTTTTATTGCTTCCATAGAAAATAAAATTCATACAGTTTATATTTTATTAATTTATTTATTTAGTTACTTTATATGTATATTTATATTTTAAGTATTATATTTAATATTAATATTAGCTGTGTATATTAAATATATGGATAATAAATTTCTTTCATAAAGTTTTTTATTAATTTGTAGATTTTGTCATTTTTGTTTTATTGATTTTCTTACATTATATTGTTGTTTATTATTTTATAATTTTACCGTGATTTTAAGTTTATTAGTGTTTTTAATAGGATGTATACTAAAGGTACCTAGAAAATATCGATTTTCCTAGGATGTATAATTTTTTGAAAAGTGTAATACTAAAGGTACGTTCATGCCTATGGAATATCTGTTTTTCTGTTTTTACGAATATATCGATTATTATAATTTCTATAGAGAATTGAATTTCCTACATTTTGGTTGAGGAATATTTCCGTATAACATTAGTTGTTTTCGAGCACTATAACATTATTTTTTCATTGCAATGACATTTTCAAATCTTAATATGTTTAACTCCAATACAGATAATGTCGCATTTTTTCTTTCTAATATTAGCTAAATGTACATAATTAATATCTGCTATATCCCTTATCAAAGCATCACCCTCTGGCCCATAGTGCAGAAATATATTTAAACTGAAATCAGACTGCGGCTTCAACTAGCTCTAATATAGACTACCGACTTTAATTTGTTTTCAATATTAATAAAAGCCACTCTTTTGAAAATACAAAAATTGTTACAAAATATTTTTTCAAACATAATATATCTTTGAAGTAATCACTTGAGAAAGTCTTGATTATTGGTTTCCACATTATTTGCAATTAAAATAATCAAAAACATCAACACAAAATAGGGATTACGTCTTTTTCCTCAAAATAATTGATAGGTTTGAACGAACCTTAAGTAAACAGATTATATTTGTTATATTATCTTTCCAAATAAACAAAGTTCTAGGGATTTTTTCAACACTCAAATTTAGCAAAAACGACTAATTAGAGCATATTTTGCTTGTATTTTTGTTTACATCACGTGTACATGCAAAAAAAGAGGAAACAATGCAAAATGAATATTCTTTAAAGATATTTGTTGTTGAAAATTGTCAATAACTTTGATATTTGTCTTTGATAATACTGTTTACACCTTATTGGAAAGATAATTTTCTTTAGAAGATAATATTTGTATCAAATTATAAAAATATTTATATAATTGTATTATTTTTAAAGAAAGAAAGCCAAAACCTCCAAAAAAGCTACATCTTTAGAATTTTTATTACACATTTAAGAGTTTAGAGTAAGAACATTAAAAAAAACTTTCAGATGTTAAAAATTTTTGTAACAAAATATTTATTTATTAGGAGGATCTTTTGATTATAATTATAGTAAATTTTATAAACTTTATCTGTTTTTGAATTAATTTTAAATTCTTATTGACAATATAGACCCATCGAAAAAAGCTCTATATTTTTTGGCAATTGTAAATTTCATTTAATGTAAGACTATATGTATGTATATCGTAATTTTGAAGGAAACACGAATTAGTTTGGAACATATGCTGTTTTGTAACAAAAATATGCATATGTATAGTCGTGCGTGGCCGAACATATGATACTCTATAGTTATAAGAATAATTTAATAAATTATTTATTCATCAGTACTTATAAAAACTATAAAACTTGTTTCGTTGTGTTTTTTCCCCGTGATATAGGTATATTTAACATAATTATGAGCTTAATAGCACTATGGACAGATTTAATAGTTTTTCATTGGTTGATTAATGGGCTCGGTAAATGATTCTAAGACGATTAGTAGGTGAGTATGACAGATATTTTTTACCGTCCCCACTAAAGTGGTTTAGGGTATGAATAGAAGAATTTTATTTAATTATAGTATGCGAAAATTGGTCTTTTTTGATCTAGCGCAATTCTAACCCTTTCAAAAAGCTCCTAGCAACACTGAATGGGGGTGAATAGACTAAAAACATTCTACTACTTCAGAAAAAATGCCCAAGCCAAACTCGGACAGTTGTACAAATTTATTATTTTTCTTGTTGTAATTAAAAAATAAATATTTAATTTTAAGTATTTTATATTTTAGAACGAGAGACTGTTTGGGATAGAAATGGCTAATTTTGACAATAAGTATGTAAACTTTGTTTACATTTTTATGCTAATTAAATCCCTATTCGACTGAGATTTGATGAAAAACACAGGTTTTAGTTAAGAGAAATTATGACAGGACTTAGAGTTAACGTTTTCATGAAGTTTGAATGGATTAACAGCAGCAAAAATTACAGTTAGTGAGCTTTGTGTAATTGGATCATTATCCTAATATAAGAACCGCCTAACAATAAAAGCCATTTTCTTAAAATTATTGGTTAACTTATTCCTAAATACCATTATTAATTTATTAATCTATACCATTTTTAATTTGCAAAGAAACATAAAAAATAAAATTTTTTCTACAAAACTAATATACATACATATTTGGAACGGATGGTCACCCGGAAAATTTCCCAAAATTTTTTAATAAAAAGGCTTTTAACGATAAATGGTACTTTAATCATAATAAAGGTGAAGAAAGACCTAAAGTGCGATTCTGACTACTGTAAAATGTTTCCTAGTTCATGGAAACATCATATCAGAGTCTTGACACAATTCCTATTAAGAAATTATCCGATTCTCTAAACAAACATATATTTTTCATCTAAATTATGTAAAATAGTGATTTAGTATAAAAATGTGAAAAATTTTACTTAAATATCGTCAAAAATTAGTGATCTCATCTCCATCACAAACAGACTCTAATTCGTTCAAAAAATAAAATAATTAAAATTAAATATTTATGTTTTAATTACAGATTTTTACATTTAGATTTCCGGTGCGGGTTCCTGTTATCTGATTTGACACACATAAGTAGGTTCGTTAGTTTTAGACACTAATGAAAAAGACCCATCGCAGGAAAATCGATATTTGTTGGCACCTCTAATGTACACATTCATACAAACATATTATAATGTTATTTACTAAATAAATCTGAACTACAGTAGATCTTAAAAAATATTTTATTTTAGAAATAAAAAAGGAAATATTTAAATTTAAATAAACATTTTCGTAGATATTATTAAAAATGAACTTAATGTAAGTATTTGTATATTAGGAAAATAGTTATAGTTTTCTGCATTTTAATCATTATTTTGCATTCCTATAGTTTTAGATTTTTTTGTGTTTTTTTTTTTTTAATTTTATGATTAACAAGTAATAAATTGTTGCAGCTGAGTTTTAAATTTAGGTTATTGGTTTAAATTTAACCATACTACAGGTTTTTTAATGTATGTTAAAATAATTTTGTTAATAATTATCTTAATTTCTTTATAAACCAACTAATTTTAAATGATTGCTTTCTTTTCAATGTTTTTGTTAGTTTTTTTTATTTTTTAAATTATTATTTTTTGTCTATTATTTTAATTTTTCTAAGCAGGCGACTACAGTTTATATTTACTAAGCTTATTTTTTTGGTTCAACTAATTTATCTACTGCTACATTAGTTTTAATTATTAATGTTTTTATGTATGGCTACATACTCAAAATGTTTTTTACTTTAGTGTTTTATAACAAATAATTATTGCAACAATTTTGAATAAATTTTTATTTTGCTTAAATATTAGAAACGATATGCTTAACGGATTTAAACTTTGAAGTAAGACCCAAAAAGTTAACACCTTTTTTAACATAAAATTTATGTTTCATTTGTTTATTTATTTTTTTAATAACAAGTTTAATTTTCACAGTCTTAGAGGCACTGGGTGCTGAGAAACAAAAATATTTATAGCATATAGGGAAGAGAAGAAAAAAAAAAGAAAAAAATAGATCGAACTAAAAAGAAAGAAGAAAATACAAACAAATAAATGATAATTTTTACTGGTGCACTATTGAGCTTTGATGTACTTAAATATGTTTTTCGTGCAAATTTTTTAAGTTGATATATAATGTGACAGTGTGTTGAAGGAAATAAGGAATGTTGACAAATTAATGATTATTTTAAAAGGTTTAAATAAAATTTAAAACTGTGGAGGATATAATACATACATATATGGGCAATTATCAAAGTTTATTAATTCTTTGGAAAATTTTATTATTCACAACTTTAGTGGTAATAACATCTCGAATAAAATTTTTAGAAAATTGAATATCGTTCGTTGTTTCGCACCACGAAATTCGTTCGTAATATATACGAAAAAAGGGAATTTTGAATAAATATGGTAAAATTTACGAAATATTAATTTATGCAAACATTTTTGTTCATTTTAAAATAATTTTTCTAATTTTAGCTCAAAATTATTCTCCACACGAATTTTTAATTTTTTTTATGAAAATAATTCGTGAATAATATTATACTTTTTCTTAAATTTTATAAAAATGTTGTAGTTTTATTTAATCATAATATAGTTAATATCATTATGTTTAATTTCGCTAAAATTTAAGAAAAAAATATTACGAAAGGTTTTCGTACTTTCGTAAAAATAGAAAAGGGTTTTATTAAATAATATTTCGTATTATACACGAAATTTTTTTAAATATTACGAAAATAGAAGTTACGAAATTTTTTTCGTAAAGTTGAGCATGGATTATTTTCAGTGTAGAAAATTTAAAATTTCGTAATTAAAAACTTAAAAAAATCGTTAGCTTTGTTATTTTTTTTACTTTTTTTGTCCAGATCCTTAAACTTTTGGACAGACATACATATATTGTTATATATCAAAATACTATAATTTGTAAGTTTTTATGGCGTTTAAGCGTCGCAGAGTGGGTTTGATGGCACCTAAAATGGCGATTAATTCAGGGTAGCCTTAATTTTAATGTGTATGTATATTAAATTTTTTGGGACGAATCATCGAAAATGCATATTTTTAGCGTTACTGACTGATTCATCATCGCACAGCCCAAACGACTGGAAAATTGTACATTTAGGGGTAAAAAAGAGAAAAAACGGGTAAAAATGATTTTCTTAATTTTCTTATACAATGGCTCACACTGGGAAACTTTTGATTTTTGTGTGTGAGAGAAAGAAAAAGAAATATTAACCATCTCTTTCTCTCACACACTAAATCAAAAGTTTCTCAACAAAAGTTTTCCAGTGTAAACCAGGTCTTAGTGATACAAGAACATTTTAAATACACCTGTATCTACTCTTGGGTGTCTGGTACTTTCTGAAAATTCGTACTTTTAACGGGTGAAAATGTGTAACAAAAGTGTTTTTGGTATCTTTTTTGGTCCTTTGTAAATTTGTATCTAATAAACGAAAAAAAAATTTAAATATTTTGGATATACATATCTTCCAAAATTATTATATTATTTATATTAATTTTATATTAAGGGCCATTATTACAACAATTATTATTAAGGGCCATTATTACAACTTGCCTTTAATGTTCGTAATAATAAAAGGTAACTTTAAATAAAGTGAGGAATAATGTGAACTTTAAATATTTTCATTACTACAACATAATTTTTGTTATACTTTTAGCCGTTAATAATATTTTTCATATGAAAAATAACATTGAATTTATTTTTCATTCATATTTAAAAAAAAAAATCCTAAAGCTTACGTTAAAAGATAAAGGTAAGGTGATCTTCCCGTTAGCCTATCGGACACTTTTAGCTAAAGTTGTCTTGTAATAACGAAAAACACATTATCTGTACGATAACTTCCTAACTTTAGTTATTGGCAAGTTATAATAATGGGCCTAAGAAAACTATTTCGACTTATTGGCGTATACCTATTAAATTACGTACTAACTCCGTAATATGTATTGAAACAAAATATTTGCTATTTCATTGGGGAAAAAGTACCAAAAAGGGGAAAAAACTGGAAATTTAATTTATTTAAACTAATTGAACCAATTTTTATAAAATTTTCAAAAATAGTTTATTTACTCACACAAAATAAGCTATTGGTACATTATTTTGGAATTTGGGACCAGATTCGGGTATTTTGTTTGGTACTTTTTGAAAGCACAATTTTTCTGGAACAAATGAATGCATATTTGAATCGATTATATCTGGAACAAATGAATGCATATTTGAATCGATTATAGATTTAAAGACGGAATATTTTGTAAACTTAATTCTCGAAAAAGTATATTCCTAGACTAAAAGGGGAAAATACTCTTTTTATTAGTACTTTCCATAAAGGTAGAATTTATTCCACTTTTGGTACTTTTTCTTTCTTCAAATGATACTATTTGTATGTTCTATGGTATGAGTTTAAAACACATGATTATTAAACATACTCGGTCCTTTTTGAATATGATTCTTTATGAGAGAACTTTTTATCTCTCAAATGGTACTTTTTTGAATTTTCTAAAATATTCTACCTAGAAACATAAATTTGAACATATGTACATGGTCCTGACTGAATAATAATCTGTAAGTGGGGACTCTTTGCTTCTGTTCCATTCTTCAAATGATACCTTTTTGATTCTCTATAATGATAAATTTCTTATATATAATATTATATATAAGAACAGAAACATTAATAAAACGTTTATTCAATTAAAAATTTCTATAAAAGTAGTAAAAATGTATGTATTTATTTTTGGTTAGGTAGCGAAGCTCCCGGGGTTATTCATAAAATTATAGCTTGTTTCAGAAATTTCGCTGTAACTTTAAAACGGAAACTGATATTTTTACAAATTATGTTGCAAATTATAGCGTACATTATATTTTATGCAGAACTTTGAAAATAATTCGACATTTTGTACACACATAGAAATAGATTTAGTTTAAACTTCGAATTTACTTTTTTGAAAAAAGTCAAGGAATAAATTTTTAACATTTTTTTTTTGAATGAATAATAATAATACTATACCTAAATATAATTATTTCTACCAAAAAGAAAAATTTTTAAAAATGTTTTTCGGTTTGTTTGCAAATTTTTGGAAAATTTATTGAATTTAATCTTAATTTAGAAATTTCGCTATAGCTTTGAAATAAAATGTAATAGATTTATAAATCGAGTTTTTATAATAAATCATATGTATTTCTTATTAAAAACATAAGTTATAAATGTATGGTAAAGTCCAGAATTTTTTAATGAAGGTGTATGAAAAAAGTGACTTTTCGTCCTTTCCCAGTTAGCATTTTATGAAGATTTTGATCACATTCGAGTCATTTATGGTTCTTCTGCTCGATTAAAATGATCATATACATCGGGAGAAAATGGTACCATTTTTTAGTAATTTTCAGTGTAATTTTTATGCTTGTTACAAACAAATACAATAATAAAGAAAACAGTTTTTGACCAAGCGAAATATAATTACAAAACAAATGTATAAGAATTATATTTCGAACATCTGGATGATCTATTTATGATTTTGTTATTTTTTTTTTTTTCGAATAAATCACATATTAATCAATCATTGGAATAATTTTTTAAGGTCGCTACTCATTAATCAGTTGGGTGACTAATCACCAGACTTAGTTTAGTGAATAGTCACCCAACTACTTTCCTTAGAAGATTGTTAAACATAGCCAATTATTACAATTATAATTAAAACATTATATAATTAAAATTTCTTTTACAGAAAAGGACTCAGTGTACTGATTAATCATTTAACAATCTTCCCTATGCTAGCTGGGTTTATACGCGTGTAGACCTACTCACAACTAAGACAAATCTGTTCACGTGAAAGAAGGTACGTCAGAGTTATGGCGTTTTTTATATTTTGTAAAATAGTTGCACATTTTGATAATAATATTCCTTCTCCTGGACATAGTCTTCACCACAATCAACTAGAAATTTGTTAAAAAAAAGTTAAGAACTATAGGAAATATTCGATGTTATAGGTAACATATACCAAGTATGCTAACCTCATGACCTCCACTGTTTAACTGAAAATGCAAAATATTTTTTTTATATTTAAATATCGGAAGTTTAAGGTTCCAGTCTGAAATTATTACTTTATTAATGTTATATCCGAGAAATAAGCACTCTTTTAGCACCAAATTAAAATGTTTACCACTTTAAATACAAATAACAATATTTAGCTCATTTTGACAGCTCACTACAAGTGAGATGTTTGAAATTTTTTTACAGCGATGTAGAATTTCATCTAGTTTTAGTCAATATTACATATTATGACAAAAACTTATTTGAAATTTCAATTTAAAAAAAAGTTGCGACGAACTAAAATATTACATAAGTTATTGTTATTATCTACCAAACTAAATTTACTTTGCTAAAACAAGAAACATCCTATTAAATCATATTTTGTTGCAATTAACTTTTTTAAATTACATACATAATACATAATGAACAAAAAAAGACTAAATCATTTTTGCCCTAGGGCCTTCCGTTTAGCCAGAAAATGGACTTTTATGTTTTCTCTAAAAAGTTGAATTTTGGTGAGAAACAAAAATGATCACAGATTTTAATTCTTTTTGCCCTAGGCCCTTCCGTTTAGCCAGATTTTCTGCACGGGTTTTTGTTATCCGATTGGATTAAAATTTAACATCAGTTTTAGACACTAATGAACAAAAAAAGACTTATCCAAATGTGTATACATTAGGGTGGCCCCAAAATGGAAGTTACGGATGTTCCCACCGAAAATGAAAATTTAGTTCATTCTAAGATACCATTTTTTTAAATTTTTGTTCTGACGTCAATATTTGGCTGGAGCAAAGGATAAAAAGGTCCTTTTTTAAGGTTTTTATGATTTTTATCATATTTCTTGCAAATACACCATATACAAATTTAGTATCATATGAGGGATCTTTGGGAGACGATTTCAATGATATAACACAAATTTGTATATATCTCCAAAATTATTATAAATGTCGTAATTTTTCGGAAAATTTTTAAGTTTTTTAAATTTTTACATAAAATTATTTAATGTAATTAATTGAAATTATTGATTGCATTATAAACTTTATGTAAATTCACCGAAATGTTTTTTTCTGTTTTTCGAAATTCGATATATTATGTTTTTTATTTAAATCATATATTTTAGTTTAACTAAAATATGAACACAATTTATCCTAAGCACCTACTTGTTTGTTATGCTTGTTTTGTTAATAATGGTTTGTATGTTGTTGCTTACATTATTTTTATATGTTTTGGTAGCGTACATAGGGGTCTATAAATTCAAATAAACTTCGATCTAGATTGAATTTTGAAAAACTGTAAAACCGTTTCCGTAGAGTTTATTGAGGATTATTATGTATTAATTTCAACGAATTATATTGATATCATCTGTGTTAAAATGTAAAAAATCTGAAAATTTCCCAAAAAATTAGTAAATTTCGATTACTTTTGCTTTTACACAAAAATTTCTAATAAGCAATTTAAAGCGTCTCTAAAGGACCTTTCTAATGATATCAATATTTCATATCTTTCTTTTGGAAGAAATATGAAAAAATCATAAAACCTCAAAGAAGGACCTTTTTATCTTTTGATCCAGCTCACCAAATATTGACGCCAGGACAAAAATTTTCAGAAATGGTATCTTGGAATCAATTAAACTTTAATTTTAGTTGGGAACATTGACACCTTATTTTTCCTCCATACAAACGAGGTCACCCTAATGTACATATTTAATAAATATTCCCCGTAAAAAATCCAAAATAAAAAATTATAACTCACCACATATTATTTTGACGCGATAAAATATTGGGTTGTTATGAATTTAGACAATATAATTTGCTACATATTACAAAAAAAAAATTACATACATACTACGCTATTTTACTACAAGACTGGCATAATTCAAAATTCGGGGTTTTAGAACTGTGTATTACAATATGTTATGTTTTAAAGTATTTATATAATTTTATCTATTTTCAAAAATGTCTACTATTTTCGTTGTCAATACTAAAATTCAAAGTTTTTCATACATACATACATATGTGCATTAGAGCGGCCCCGTTTGTATTCAGGAAAAAAAGGTTTCAATGTGCCCAACTAAAATGAAAGTTTAATTGTTTTTATTAGACTCAAGATAACAAGAACAGTTGTAAAATATTTTGTGTTATTTTTATTTTATTCTGTTAGAATTAAAAGAATTAAAAATGTCTTTCAAAAATTTTTGGAAAAATAATATTGAAAACCTAAATAAATATTAAAGGATAAAAATTTTAAAAGATATTTTTGACATCTTTTTATCCTGACAGTATAAAATAAAAATAATACAAAATATTTCCCAAAACTTATTGTTCGCTTGACATCCAATTTGACATTGTTTGATCAGTAGAAGTATTTAATTTTTTTTTTTTTGAAATTTTACTTTTTAAAATTTTGAAGTCCTTTAAAAGGGACACAGGATCACGAAAACAAAAAACGCAGTTGTTCTCCATTAAATTTATAGTTTCAGACGTATATCATCTGGTTCGTGTTTAACGAATTTTTTCTCTTTTGTCGGACGGGGTTATCAATCAATGGAGGAAAAACGTTTTTAAAAATGTTAATGAAAATTTTTAATATTAAGATCCAACTATCAGTTAAGACATTATTGCTTATGGCAAGAAATAACACATTCATTTTCACACATAAAAATATATGTGTACAGGAAACTATGGACCATTAGTATTAACTCTGTGTACTCAGTTTTTCATAATCAGCTCTTATACTCCTGTAAAAGGACTTTAAAGTTTGAAGGACATACGATTTCAAAAGATGGAATTTCAAATTTATATAAAAAAGTTGGTATTAATATTAATATCAAATGAAGCTGAGCTGCTCTGCTTCAAAATAATATGATTTATTTCAATTCAATCAACAACACTAACAACACACTATTTGTAGTTAAGCTGTAATTGCTTACTCTAACAGCTTAATTACAATTGGAACCACAACCGCTATCGACAATGAGTTTTCATACATTTTATATGGAGAACAAAATATCGTCTTGTGGTTGGCGATATTGTGTTTGAAATAGATTCTATTCAGCGTTGCCACTTTGGTCCAATTGGACCAAAATTGGTAGTTACAAATCTTTGAAATGACTTTAGGTAGTTTGGTTGGTAGGTTTAAATTTTGGTCCAAATTTGGTAGGATGAGATAATTTTGATCTCAAGCATATGAATTTATAAATATTTCTGACCTATTTATGGCAAAGTAATAAGAATTTTAATAAATACGTCAATCTTAGGTTTATCCTTGTTAAGTTTATATTGTTTGTTCTAAGAAAATATTAAGTTTCTATGTATTTCTAGATTTCTGATTCATGAATGTTAGTTAGTAGTTAGTTTGAAATGAGGATGTTATATAAAATCCAAAGGAATACTTGTAGGCCTGCATCGGTCCCGTTGTGAACTTCCTAACCAATGCCTCAGGTGGGAATCGAACGCACGACGTCAGGTCTGACTATAACATAAACCACTAAGCTACTGGAGGCCACACTAATTCATTTTTTTCTAAGAAGCCAGATTCATGAATGAATATATAATTTGGTTGGTCTACTACCTTACAAACGGAATCACAAAATTAATATATTGATATATTGATTTTGTGATTCCGTTTGTAAGTATATATTTTTTCTAGGTTCTTATTAGATTCTAAGACGATATAGCCATGTCCGCCCGTCTGTCTGTTGAAACAGTTTTTTAAGAACTGAAATCTATGTCGATTGGTCCACGATTGATCCTATTACAGCCATATAGCCCCTTTTACGGAAAATAATTTTATTATCAATAAATAACAAATTAGTTAACCGTAGTATAATGAAAGGATTTATCCATAAAGTCCTCAATTTATACGATACATGCTGATGGTGGATATACATACATATATGATTCGTCATAGCCGAATATAATACTATTACAATTTTCTCGAGAATGATTT